CGCCAAGTAGCGTCTACACTGCCGAGGAGAAATAAAGCCCCGTTCACACTACAAGCGACTTTGTCGCTGCATGTCGCCAGTGGCTGGCGATGAGGTCGCTAGTGGGAGTTCCCACTACTGGTTGCCTTTATGAATGACATCCAATGATGTGGAGAAGCATCATACGCGCTCCGCTCCTATTGGTTGTCGCTCCCGAAAGTCGCTCCTCATTTGCATAAAGTTAAACAGATCTCAACTTTGTCGCGTCGCCAGACACGCCCCATCCGGTCGCTGTCGCGCGTGTCGCCGGAAGTCGCCCGCTCTCCATTGAAATGAATGGTATCGCGTCGCTTGGTCGCGTGTAGTGTGAACGGGGCTTAAGACGAGGAAGATGCAAGGCCAGATTAGAGCCGCTGGTCTCGTTGGTGTCGGAACATAAAGAACTATATGACAAACGCAACAGCGACTACAACATAGGACTATTTCTGTTTTACATTAAGTGCCATCTAATGTCAGGGCATGTTCACTCGGCTCATCGTCAGCGAAAATCGCGTTGAAAAACGCTGCTGAATAACGCGCGCAGATATTCGTCCCGGTGTGTACGGGCCTTAACACACACACACACTCACACTCACTCAGTGAGTGTGTGTGTGAGTGTGTGTGTGTTAGAGTGTGAGTGAGAGTGAGTGAGTGAGTGTGTGTGTATGTGTCTGTGTTAGTGAGTGTGTGTGTGTGTTAGTGTGTGAGTGTGTGGGAGTGAGTGTGTGTGTGTGTGTGTGTGTGTTTGTTTGTGCGTGTGTGAGTGTGTGTGAGTGTGTGTCTGTGTGTGTGTGTCTGTGTGTGTGAGAATATGTCTGTGTGTGTGAGAATGTGTCTGTGTGTGTGTCTGTGTGTGTGTGTGTGTGTCTGTGTGTGTGAGAGTGTGTCTGTGTGTGTGTGTGTGTGTGTGTGTGTGTGTGTGTGTGTGTGTCTGTGTGTGTGTGCGTGTGTCTGTGTGTGTGTGTGTGTGTGTGTGTGTGTGTGTGTGTGTGTCTGTGTGTGTGAGAGTGTGTCTGTGTGTGTGTGTGTGTGTGTGTGTGTGTGTGTGTGTGTGTGTGTGTGTGTGTGTGTGTGTGTGTCTGTGTGTGTGTGCGTGTGTGTGTGTGTGTGTGTGTCTGTGTGTGTGAGAGTGTGTCTATGTGCAGGGATGGGCAGTATTTCAGATACATGTATTTAAAATACGTATTTGAAATACAAAATACTATTTTGTATTTTGTATTTTGAAGCCTTTGGGAAAAATCAAATGTAATTTGTATTTAAATACATTTAAGATGAGTATTTTTGTATTTTCAAAATACATAAAATACTTTTTGCCAGTCAACCTCTTTATCCAGGTCCTGGTTTCGTGCATCAACTAGTTCAGACTCATTTATAATTTTAATGAACTTATAGAAACAAATAAACTTTACATCAAATAAATATAAAATTACTATGCTTAAAAAATAGGGGTGTAACAATATCATGTCACAATATATCGCAATACAAAAATGCAACAATATGTATCGTGGATAATTCACCCCCAAAAAAAACCTAATGTGTGAGAAAAAGAGTTTTAGTGTCAGTACTACATCTACTATATAGTGTTGAATATAATAATAATGCAATTATTAGGGAATATTTGTGGGTCCTGATAATGCCAAATGTCTGATGTTAAAGGGATAGTTCACCCCAAAACTCTGTCAGCTCTCCCTCATGTTGATCCAACCCAGGAAGACTTTAGTTCATCTTCAGAACACAAATTAAGATATTTTTGATTGAATCTGAGAGCTGGATCACTCCTCCATAGGCTTCATTTCCTTCTCTGTTGGCCTCGAGATAGTTGTAGTGTAACAGCGCAGCGCTTCTGTGTTGTACGTCACACGCAGGCTCACTATTGGCCGACGCTGGTCATGTGTGTGATGTGTGTGATGTGTGTGACGTACAACACAGAAGCGCTGCGCTGTTACACTAGTGAACTGACTCGAGGCCCACAGAGAAGGAAATGAATAGTTGAATAAAGTCGTTGTTTTTGTTTGTTTTTTGCGCACACAAAGTATTCTCGTCGCTTGATAAACTTAAGGTTGAGTCACTGTCGTCACTCGGACTATTTTAACAATGTCTTTCATAACTTTTGGGCCGGCAAGTTTCGGTCCCTTAGAAGCCTATGGAGGAGTGATCCAGCTCTCAGATTTAATAAAAAATATCTTAATTTTTGTTCCGAAGATGAACGAAAGTCTTACTGGGCTGGAACAACATGAGGGCGAGTAATTACTGACAGAATTTTAATTTTGGGGTGAACTATCCCTTTAACTGTAAAGTAAAGTATGTGGCCTACATTATTTGGCCACATACATATCTAGTCATTGAAAGAGTGCAAGCATATTCGTCTTAAATAATTCTGTTTTCAGCTTCAGAATCATGAATATTGTTATTCTGGTGTCTCTATTGTCCTGTGCTTTGGGTTTCCAGCACAGAGTCCAAACCTATTCATTTACACACACAATGTAATATCAAATTTAGCATTTTAATCAACAGTACATTTTTTGTTAACCTTTTTATCATATGTCTTGGAGTATCTCAATAATATCATATCGTGAGTTCAGTATCGTGATATGTATCGAATCGTGACATGAGGGTATCGTTACACCCCTACTTAAAAAGCATTGGACTACCCGCAAAAAAAAAAAAAACCTTCAACAGAGTTTGAAATTCAGTTTTTGCTGTTGTATTAAAACTGATATTGAGAATTGTGAAACCATGATATATTGTTACTGTGAAGTCAGATTTTGGGTCATATTCTTTGCTAGAAAGCAGAAAAGTTTCCCACAGTTTTACATGCAGTATGGATTTTTTAATACTGTTCACCACAAGTAATCGACTACATTGTAACCTGGTCAGAAATAAGTATATAAATGGCTGCTATTTTACACAAGTTTATTTGTAATGGCCAGCAATTAGGCCTATGTAGTTTCTTTATTCACTGTGACCTATGCCTGCACTGGATGGCCAATTTCACATGTATTTTGTGTATTTTCAAAATACAAAATACTGTATTTGTATTTAAATACATTTTTTCACACAGTATTTTGTATTTGTATTTTAAATACATTTCCATGTATTTATGCCCATCTCTGTCTATGTGTGTGTGTGTGTGTGTGTGTGTCTGTGTGTCTGTGTGTGTGTGTCTGTGTGTGTGTGTCTGTGTGTGTGTGTGTGTGTGTGTGTGTGTGTATGTGTGTGTGTGTGTGTGTCTGTGTGTGTGAGAGTGTGTCTGTGTGTGTATGTGTGTGTCTGACCTGCAGCCAGAGGTTAAAGTTGTCTCTCCACTCTCCGTTGACGGTACAGTGAAAGGTTGCTGTTTGTCCAGCGTTCACTTCAACGCCTTTGATATGGAGGAAGTGCGGCGTGTTCACTGGAAGCAGAATAACACACACACACACACACACACACACACACACACACACACACACACACACACACACACACACACACACACACACACACACACACACTAAATAAAACACACGCCCTGGAGTTTCAGAAGAGCCACAAGACTAAAACATCTCCTGCAATCTCTTCTATTCTCTCAGGTTCAATAAAACATGCAGCATGTGTGTGTGTGTGTGTGTGTGTGTGTGTGTGCATGCAGCATGTCCTCAAACAAAAGCAAAACACTAAATCAACACACATGAGCGAGATCTTTGAGCTATGAAATGTTCTTTCTGAGAAATACACAGTTTCACAAGAGACCTCAGACTCAAAAATCAAAGTTTCCAATCAAAAGTCCGAATATTGAGAATATCAGATGATCTGAGTATTTTATAGCTCAGAAATTTTGTTCTACCTCAATATTTATGTCTTGTTTTCCAGCACAAATATCTAAACATTCTTACATCAAGATACATTTACTGGAGAAGAAGCAAAATGACTGAAGATATTAAGAATTGTTTTATTAAAATGAAGTGAGTTTGTGCTTAAAATGAGAACAAATATCTGCCAATGGAGTCAGAAAAATAATCTTGTTTTCTCTTTGAATTAAGATTAGTCTCCATCGGCAGATATTTGTTCTCACTTCATCTTGATGCATTTTTCAAGACCTCGATCTCTTCAACTGTGCCAAAATATAACAAGATGTTTTATTACAGATATCAATAACACCCTCTCAACCTCCTTGTTTTTCAGAACGAGTAAAAAAAGAAAAATCATTATTGGTTTCTCATTTAATCTGCGCACAGCTAATAATGTTCCCCTAAACCACTAACCTTAACTCTATTGATTAAAGTTGCGGTGTGTTCTCATTAGTCTCGAACAACAAAGCGCACTCATAACTGGGTCAATATGCATTTAAAACCAAAAGCATCTGTGAGATGAAAGTTGATTTAAATGAAGTTATGACGAGTAGCGTGACCTTGACGTGAACGAAGAGACTCTGCTAATGTAATCTCAGTCTCTGCACTCCTCTTCCTCCTCACGCTCTTCAGCGTTTCAGCAGCATCTGAAGCGAAGCACCTTTATTGCCCATCTTTCTCTTATGGTTACAGTAGTGTGTTACAGTAGTGTGTTACAGTAGTGTGTTACAGTAGTGTGTTACAGTAGCGTGTTACAGTAGTGTGTTACAGTAGTGTGTTACAGTAGCGTGTTACAGTAGTGTGTTACAGTAGCGTGTTAGAGTAGTGTTTTACAGTAGCGTGTTACAGTAGCGTATTACAGTAGTGTGTTACAGTAGTGTGTTACAGTAGCGTGTTACAGTAGCGTGTTACAGTAGTGTGTTACAGTAGTGTGTTACAGTAGTGTTACAGTAGTGTGTTACAGTAGTGTGTTACAGTAGTGTGTTACAGTAGCGTGTTACAGTAGCGTGTTACAGTAGTGTGTTACAGTAGTGTGTTACAGTAGTGTTACAGTAGTGTGTTACAGTAGTGTGTTACAGTAGTGTGTTACAGTAGTGTTACAGTAGCTTGTTACAGTAGCGTGTTACAGTAGCGTGTTACAGTAGCGTGTTACTGTTTAAACACTGTTTAAAAGACATCATGTGTATTATAGACTATATGAATGCAGTATGCAGAACATAACTACTAATCAGAGGTCAATATCAACATGACGTTTTTATTTGTGAAGGATGATTGTGTTCGTTTGCTCTCTATGAAAGCAGATGGTAGACCTTCTCTGACCGCGGGAGGTGTAGCTATCACCATCACAGCGGAAAACACACTCCTGTAACACACTACTGTAACACACTACTGTAACACACTACTGTAACACACTATTATAACACACTACTGTAACACACTACTGTAACACGCTACTGTAACACGCTACTGTAACGCGCTACTGTAACACACTTCTCTAACACACTACTGTAACACACTACTATAACACGCTACTGTAACACGCTACTGTAACACACTACTGTAACACGCTACTGTAACACACTACTCTAACACGCTACTGTAACATGCTACTGTAACACACTACTCCAACACGCTACTGTAACACGCTACTGTAACACGCCACTGTAACACGCTACTGTAACACACTACTGTAACACACTACTGTAACACGCTACTGTAACACAATACTGTAACACACTACTGTAACACGCTACTGTAACACGCTACTGTAACACGCTACTGTAACACACTTCTCTAACACACTACTGTAACACAGTACTGTAACACACTACTGTAACACACTACTGTAACACGCTACTGTAACACGCTACTGTAACACGCTACTGTAACACACTTCTCTAACACACTACTGTAACACAGTACTGTAACACGCTACTGTAACACACTACTCCAACACGCTACTGTAACACGCTACTGTAACACGCTACTGTAACACGCCACTGTAACACGCTACTGTAACACGCTACTGTAACACAATACTGTAACACGCTACTGTAACACACTACTGTAACACGCTACTGTAACACGCTACTGTAACACGCTACTGTAACACGCTTCTCTAACACAGTACTGTAACACACTACTGTAACACACTATTATAACACACTACTGTAACACGCTGCTACTGTAACACGCTACTGTAACACACTTCTCTAACACACTACTGTAACACACTACTGTAACACGCTACTGTAACACGCTACTGTAACACCCTACTGTAACACACTACTCTAACACGCTACTGTAACACGCTACTCTAACACGCTACTGTAACACGCTACTGTAACACGCTACTGTAACACACTACTGTAACACGCTACTGTAACACTCTACTGTAACACACTACTCTAACACGCTACTGTAACACGCTACTCCAACACGCTACTCTAACAGGCTACTGTAACACGCTACTCCAACACGCTACTGTAACACGCTACTGTAACACGCCACTGTAACACGCTACTGTAACACACTACTGTAACACACTACTGTAACACACTACTGTAACACACTACTGTAACACACTACTGTAACACGCTACTGTACGAACAAAATCATCCTTCACAAATAAAAACGTCATGTTGATATTGACCTCTAATTAGTAGTTATGTTCTGCATACTGCATTCATATAGTCTATAATACACATGATGTCTTTTAAACAGTGTTTATCAACCCTACGCTGCTCTTCGGTCATTTTTTGACAGAAACATTTTAAGTTTTTATTGAATTTTTTACTTCTTCGGAATTGTACGAAAGTTGGTAAAGGTTTCGGCACTTGCTGTGTGAACACACAAATATATTACGGACATGATGTGAACAGGTTAAACGGTCCTGTAAGCAATAGTCACTTGTGCTCCTCGCGGTCAGAAACGAGCGCATTGGAAATGAATGAGAGACGAGTTTCCTCTAGTGGAAGCGTTTGGAACTGCAGCCGAACAACATCTCACTGGAAGATCATTCACTGAGAGATCAGACTCACATCTGGAGCACAGCTGGCTTAGGTTTATGGTTTTGATTTTCTTGCAGTTTTAAAGTAAATTTCATATAAAAATTGAAAATAGTATTTTTGTGCATTTTTCATAACAATAAACGTAAAATGCTGTAACTTTTTTTAAGTTTACTTTTTAAAACTGTTTTCACTTCAGCAATAATCTGCCGAGTGTCGTCTTTAATAAGAGATCAAACTTCAGTGTGTCGCTCTAAAGCATTCAAGATTCAAAATCTCTGCCTATATGCACGTTTCATACGGATTACATAATCTGAAAATATTTATGTTCCATTTGAATTTGTTCATTCAAAAGTAGACTAGTAGACTTTCAAGCTTTCTGTAGGTATATTTCTCATGTCTGTGAGGCGAGTATATGGCGTTGAGTTTCGGGTCATTTATGTGATGCGCTAAAGTTCACAGAGACCGAGACACACAGCAAGAGCATCCTTATTGTTTTCATCATTTGACAAATTATTAAATTATCTATCTATCTATCTATCTATCTATCTATCTATCTATCTATCTATCTATCTATCTATCTATCTATCTATCTATCTATCTATCTATCTATCTATCTATCTATCTATCTATCTGTCCATCCATCATCCATCCATCCATCCATCCATCCATCATCCATCCATCATCCATCATCTATCTATCTATCTATCTATCTATCTATCTATCTATCTATCTATCTATCTATCTAAATCTATCTATCCATCCATCCATCCATCCATCCATCCATCCATCCATCCATCCATCCATCCATCCATCTATCCATCTATCCATCTATCTATCTATCTATCTATCTATCTATCTATCTATCTATCTATCTATCTATCTATCTATCTATCGATCCATCCATCCATCCATCCATCCATCATCCATCCATCATCTATCTATCTATCTATCTGTCCATCCATCATCCATCCATCATCCATCCATCATCCATCATCTATCTATCTATCTATCTATCTATCTATCTATCTATCTATCTATCTATCTATCTATCTATCTATCTATCTAAATCCATCCATCCATCCATCCATCCATCCATCCATCCATCCATCCATCTATCTATCTATCTATCTATCTATCTATCTATCTATCTATCTATCTATCTATCTATCTATCTATCTATCTATCTATCTATCTATCTATCTATCTCAGCAGAATCCCACTTTCATCCTCCTCTCCGGCTAGCGGTGTCTCTTTCACACGCTGATCTCTCTCCTGCTTTATCGCCATCTTCTCTCTTTTGTTTTCGTTATTACGCTCTCTTTTATGACTCGCCAATGCCTGGAGAAAGACCGACGATATTGATGTTGGGAGGCTGGCAGGAAAAGGCCAAGGAGCGGGTGATGAGGCTGATTTTACGACGGAGAGACGGAGAGATAGAGAAACGGGTCTTACTGCACTGATGGCCCTGGAGAACGACGTCCTTGATGGCGAGAAAGCCTCTCTGCCCGGAGGTCACCACTTCAAAGACGATCTGCGGAGGAAAGAGAAAGCTCATAACCACAGTGATAAATGGACTCGCTCTCAAAATGTCACACACACACACCGGCACTGAGGTGTCCCGCAGGAGCCAAGGTGAGGGTTTAAACAACGACCCACGAAGATGAAGAAAACACCATTCACGCTGGTCATTAGTGCTCATTAAAACACCATTACGGCTTTAGTGATTGGGCTGAACGTGTTAAATCATGGGCGTATGGGATCAGATTCACGGCGGTCATTAAAAGCCCCCTGAAATCAAAATACATTTTTGTAGCTTTTAGTATGAATATGTTCGCCTTAAGGTTATGAATAAGCCGGCGTGTTCCAAAACAATGACAAAATTCGCATTTAGGAGATATAAGCATTCAAAACCTAAACGCTAAAATGGATCAGGGATTGTTATGACATCACATCTTCTGTCCAATCAAATGCTCTCTAGAATCTGAAGCTCCGCCCCCTCTGCTGTAACGGACACGTCACAGAGCATTATGGGTCGGAGATGTGTGTGTTCTGTTACTCAAACGCTTTAGTTTTATTCCGTTTTCCAACGTTGGTTAAGAATGAAATGAGACCGTGGACCACAAAACCAGTCACAAGGGTCAATTTGTGGAAATTTAGATTTATACGTCATCTGAAAGCTGGATAAATAAGCTTTCCATTGATGAATGGTTTGTTAGGATAGGACAATATTTGGCCGGGTTATTTTTAAAATCTGGAATCTGAGGGTGCAAAAAATCTAAACATTGAGAAAATCGCCTTTAAAGTGCACGATTTTGCTGCATCCACTCACAAAAGTATATTTTTTATATATTCACGGTAGGAAATTTACAAAATATCCTTTACTTAATATCCTAATGATTTTTGGCATAAAAGAAAAATCGATGATTTTGACCCATACAATGCATTGTCGGCTATTGCCGTGCGACTCGTGACTGGGTTTATGATCCAGAGTCAAAAATGGCTTGAATTTATTAACATCTCTACTATTAAATCCAGCGTATCATCAGCGCTCGGATTCGCTTCCATGGTGCTGGGGGAAACTAAACGCTATTGGCTATTTGAAAAGGGGGAGGAGCCATTCAATAAGCCCCGCCTTAGCTTCCCGTTTCAGTGGAGATTACGAAGATGAGGAAAACAGCATTCACGCCGGTCATTAGTGCTCATTAAAACACCATTTGGCTTTAGTGATTGGGCTGAACGTGTGAAATCAGCGGGCGAACGGGATCGGGCTCCAAGGGTGCTCGTGGAGAATCGGCTGTCTGTCAGATTGCAGACTTTATAGACGTGGTAAATCACGTCTCTATCAGCGAGATGCTGCGGCAGCATGTGCTAAATCTGCTGGGTTTATACAGCCAAACAACTCAACTCGACAGCCAGACTCTGGGGGTCAGGGCTAAAGACGGGCAGAGTGAAGGATTCTGGGATACATGCTCTTTGCTAAGCTTTCTATTATGATGCATATTCAGCGCGCGAGAGGTTTGACAGGCGTCCCAGGAGCCGGTTCTGCAACATCACGGTCACACTGACCTGGACCGGCTGGTGACCGACAGATCCGGCGTCCGGAATATGATGTGGAAAAGCAGCTTGAATGAAATATACGGTAATATATAGTCATGACATCGGCACCCAGATGTGTTTAATCACTCCCTTTCAAACCTGAGAGACATTAAAGAACATTTTTTCTGTCCACAATGCAATGTCCAATGTTGAAAGTGTTCCACTGAAGAAAGTCAGGTTTGGTAAATGACGACAGAATGATCTATATAAGTTATAATCTGTTTCATTAACATTAAGTGGACGAGAAATAATGATTTCTTCACATTTCCAGGTTTCACAGGGACTGAACTGCAGTTTGAATCTAAAGCTATTTGTCTGGTAATGGACCACCGGTCACTGCCGTCCCCAAACTAACATGAACAGAGTAAACATCCCTAATGATCCTTAAAATAACTAATATATTAACATATGACTGTGCGATCTGAGCGGTCACACGCGGGACAGGGGAACACGAGCTCAGATGAAGGACAGGAATGACACGCTTCCTTTAGGAACTGGGTGTGGCTCTCCAAACATCCCATAATATCACACACACACACACACACACACACACACTCTCTCTCTCTCTCTCTCTCTCTCTCTCTCTCTCTCTCACACACACACACACTCTCTCTCACTATCTCTCTCTCTTTCTCTCTCTCTCTCTCACACACACACACACTCTCACTATCTCTCTCTCTCTCTCTCTCTCTCTCTCTCTCTCTCTCTCACACACACACACACACACACTCTCTCTCTCTCTCTCTCTCTCTCTCTCTCTCTCTCTCTCTCTCTCACACACACACACACTCTCTCTCACTATCTCTCTCTCTTTCTCTCTCTCTCTCTCACACACACACACACTCTCACTATCTCTCTCTCTCTCTCTCTCTCTCTCTCTCTCACACACACACACACTCTCTCTCACTATCTCTCTCTCTCTCTCTCTCTCTCACACACACACACACTCTCACTATCTCTCTCTCTCTCTCTCTCTCTCACACACACACACACTCTCACTATCTCTCTCTCTCTCTCTCTCTCTCTCTCACACACACACACACTCTCACTATCTCTCTCTCTCTCTCTCTCTCTCTCTCTCTCTCACACACACACACACACACTCTCTCACTCTCTCTCTCTCTCACACACACACACTAACACACTCACACAACACACACGCACACACACACACACACACTCAAATTGAGATATTTCAAGCCTTTATTTGTTAAGCTTACAGCTTATGGAAACCCCAAATTCAAAATTAGAATATTGTGAAAAGGTTTTCATATCTGTAAACCATAATCATCAAAATTATAACAAATAAAGATATGTTATCAGAGGAAACTGTCTGAGTTATGTATTTCAGAAAGTCACAGTTAGCTAACAAATTACTAATTTAAACAATGTAATGATTTAATGCAGAAACAATGAGCTCATTGAAGTAATGAATACTTGTTTATTAACAAATGATTAATACATTTAGAAAAATGTCGCATTGGTGCATGTTGATTCAGTGTTCATGTATCTTTGCTTGTATTTGTATGTAATTCTTTTCTATATATATATATATATATATATTCTTTTCTATATATATAAATATATATTTATTTTATTTTTATTTTATTTATTTATTTATTTAAATGTATTTTTTATATATATTTTTAGATATTTAGAAAAATGTCGCATTGGTGCATGTTGATTCAGTGTTCATGTATCTTTGCTTGTATTTGTATGTAATTCTTTTCTATATATATATATATATATATATTCTTTTCTATATATATAAATATATATTTATTTTATTTTTATTTTATTTATTTATTTATTTAAATGTATTTTTTATATATATTTTTTTATATATATCTATATTTATTTTATTTTATTTTACTTTTTATATATTTATTTCTTTATTATTATTTTTGTTTTATTTTATATATTTTTTATTTTATTTTATTTTATTTTATTTTATTTTATTTTATTTTATTTTATTTTATTTTATTTTATTTTATTTTATTTTATTTTATTTTTCCAGATCTCCTGGATTGCTGTGTTGGGGCTGGATAGGGTTGTTTATGGTGGGTGAGCTGGTATAAACTGTAAAAATGCAGTTTGCAACAACAACAAATATATATATATATATATAAAAAGAAATGCATAAAAACTAAATCAGTCTGTCACAACCAATGAAAAGCTCTGATCGCTGACCCGACCGCCCCATCAGCACAGAGGTTTCAACTGCATCTTTCTAGAGAGGAAACACATCAAATCGAGCCTGTAATTACAAAATAATGTCCAAAGCACCAGGTGGTTTCATTTTGATGATCACTTACGATACTGTGCAATTAAAGCGACCAATAATTATCCTGACGTCGCTAATTAGACACACACTCGCTCTATTCTTATCACACAGAGCGATGCATGTGGAATCTTTTTAAGAGCCTTAATAACACATGCAAGTTACACATCAAACTAGCAGAGCAACATCTGAGAGTGCACACCATTCCTCAACGCAGACGGCACAGAAATAAACTCACAGACACCAGTAATCTCAGCAAACACATGACGGCTCCTGTAATATACTCGTTATATATACTGTTAAACTCAACCCATGTCAGAAATGTCGGGATGCTCCTGTTAAACCGCTCCCAGAGTCGGAATGACAAATGTGCTGATGCTTAAACACAAGATATTTCAGGCGGCGGAGGTTAAAACCACGTCTGCTCTCAGTTTACCACGGTATTCAACACTGCTAATCTGAGACTTACAGTGTGTGTGTGTGTGTGTGTGTGTGTGTGTGTGTGTGTTTCTGCGATGCAGTTTTTCTATTTTCTATTTCTAGTTTCCTAACCAGATTAAGACAGATTATAGTGACAAGCAATTGCTGTCCACACCAGAAACAATTCAACAACAAGACGTGACAAAATCAATCACAGCCAATCAGAAGAGCGTGTGGGCGGAGTCTCTGCAAGCGCACTGCACTCACAACCAATCAATCACAGCCAATCAGAAGAGCGTGTGGGCGGAGTCTCTGCAAGCGCACTGCACTCACAACCAATCAATCACAGCCAATCAGAAGAGCGTGTGGGCGGAGTCTCTGCAAGCGCACTGCACTCACAACCAATCAATCACAGCCAATCAGAAGAGTGTGTGGGCGGAGTCTCTGCAAGCGCACTGCACACACAACCAATCAATCACAAATCACAGCCAATCAGAAGAGTGTGTGGGCGGAGTCTCTCTGCAAGCGCACTGCACTCACAACCAATCAATCACAGCCAATCAGAAGAGTGTGTGGGCGGAGTCTCTGCAAGCGCACTGCACTCACAACCAATCAATCACAAATCAAAGCCAATCAGAAGAGTGTGTGGGCGGAGTCTCTCTGCAAGCGCACTGCACTGACAACCAATCAATCACAAATCACAGCTAATCAGAAGAGTGTGTGGGCGGAGTCTCTCTGCAAGCGCACTGCACTCACAACCAATCAATCACAGCCAATCAGAAGAGTGTGTGGGCGGAGTCTCTCTGCAAGCGCACTGCACTCACAACCAATCAATCACAAATCACAGCCAATCAGAAGAGTGTGTGGGCGGAGTCTCTCTGCAAGCGCACTGCACTCACAACCAATAAATCACAGCCAATCAGAAGAGTGTGTGGGCGGAGTCTCTGCAAGCGCACTGCACTCACAACCAATCAATCACAAATCACAGCCAATCAGAAGAGTGTGTGGGCGGAGTCTCTCTGCAAGCGCACTGCACTCACAACCAATAAATCACAGCCAATCAGAAGAGTGTGTGGGCGGAGTCTCTGCAAGCGCACTGCACTCACAACCAATCAATCACAAATCACAGCCAATCAGAAGAGTGTGTGGGCGGAGTCTCTCTGCAAGCGCACTGCACTCACAACCAATAAATCACAGCCAATCAGAAGAGCGTGTGGGCGGAGTCTCTCTGCAAGCACACTGCACTAACAACCAATCAATCACAAATCAAAGCCAATCAGAAGAGTGTGTGGGCGGAGTCTCTGCAAGCGCACTGCACTCACAACCAATCAATCACAGCCAATCAGAAGAGTGTGTGGGCGGAGTCTCTGCAAGCGCACTGCACTCACAACCAATCAATCACAAATCAAAGCCAATCAGAAGAGTGTGTGGGCGGAGTCTCTCTGCAAGCGCACTGCACTCACAACCAATCAATCACAGCCAATCAGAAGAGCGTGTGGGCGGAGTCTCTCTGCAAGCACACTGCACTCACAACCAATCAATCACAAATCAAAACCAATCAGAAGAGTGTGTGGGCGGAGTCTCTCTGCAAGCGCACTGCACTCACAACCAATCAATCACAGCCAATCAGAAGAGTGTGTGGGCGGAGTCTCTGCAAGCGCACTGCACTCACAACCAATCAATCACAAATCACAGCCAATCAGAAGAGTGTGTGGGCGGAGTCTCTCTGCAAGCGCACTGCACTCACAACCAATCAATCACAGCCAATCAGAAGAGCGTGTGGGCGGAGTCTCTCTGCAAGCGCACTGCACTCACAACCAATAAATCACAGCCAATCAGAAGAGCGTGTGGGCGGAGTCTCTCTGCAAGCGCACTGCACTCACAACCAATCAATCACAAATCACAGCTAATCAGAAGAGTGTGTGGGCGGAGTCTCTCTGCAAGCGCACTGCACTCACAACCAATCAATCACAAATCACAGCCAATCAGAAGAGTGTGTGGGCGGAGTCTCTCTGCAAGCGCACTGCACTCACAACCAATCAATCACAAATCACAGCTAATCAGAAGAGTGTGTGGGCGGAGTCTCTCTGCAAGCGCACTGCATTTGCATTACTGCACTTAATTTACAAATATTAAACCATTTTAACTTTATTAAGAATGCACAGTGAGTGAATGAAACAATCTTTGTCATTGAATAAACAGTTTAAACATTCCTGTTTCCTTTCATCTATTTTCAAGATCTCAGATAAATACTATTATGAGATGTATGGAAAAAAATACAGTATATTAAATATGAATGATAATTAAAAGTCAATCAAAATAAATTACGTAAAATAGAAATTTGACATATTTCTAAGATCTGAGATGAATTATCTATTGTTGCTTTCAGTTTGCCTAAAACTGACTTTAGACCTTTTTAAGATGAAATAAAAGCACATAATTAGTTCATTAGTTCTAAGATGATCATTGTCATCTTTGTTTGTATCTCCAGCTGCGATGTCACAGAAATAGAAACCGATTACAATCCTCTGTTCGTTCCGGCTGATTAAAATGATAAAGATCATTTTTTTTAATTGTGTGCGTAGTTTCATCTGGTTAGGACAGTGTTCGCAGCTTCACTGATGCCAGCACTAAAAGGTTTGGAAAGTCATTAGAGCTAATAAGTAAATTAATTTTAATTATTGCCTGAATTATTCCTCTAATGCAATCAAAAAGTTCAGCAAAGCATGAATAATCTGACAGAAGCCCATTTACAATCCTTTTGAATCGGCTCACACTTCTCCACTCGTCATAATGAAACTTTGCAAATGAAATTATGTGTTGCAGAGTTTCGCGGTGTGGAAATTTGCAATAGGACTATTTCTTAATTTGCCTTATTATTTTATTTATTAACAAAAACAATAATATTAATAATAATAATATAAAAACATTATTTTATTTTTATTTTACAGTGAAAATAAAATAACATAATATAAAATACATTTCTTTATAATTTTATTTAATAACAGTAAAAACAATAATAATAATATTTTATTATTCATTTAAATTTTATATTTATATAATTTATTATTATTATAATAAAACTCTTATTATTATTATACTATTTTCCTTAAATATACAATGAAAAATTACAATAACAACATCTCTTAATTTTATTTACTGTTTTTTAATAATAGTAACAACAACTCAAATTATTAAAATATTATTATAAAACACTCATTATTATATTATTTTCCTTAAATATGTTTTATTTTACAGTAGATAAATTACAATAGTAATATTTCTTAATTTTTCCTTATTATTTTATTTAACAACAATAATAACAATAATAAATATTATTATTTATAGTTAAAAAGTTCAGTAAAGCATGAATAATCTGACAGAAGCCCGTTTAAAATCCTCACTTCTCCACACGTCATAATGAAACTTTACAAATGAAAAGATGATGTGCTGCAGGGTTTGGTGTGTGTGTGTGTGTGTGTTCCTCCAAAGCATCTAATCAGGGTCTCGTCGTAACCTCTCGCTGTCGCTCTAATGGAGTAATTTACCAAAGCGCGCGTTCCCTGCGCGGGGTCACGGGGGCTCGTTCCACCAATTAACACGGGGCTCCGTCAACACCCATGAGGACGGGTCACTAATGACCAGCATGTGTGAAATCAGAGCGTCTCTCTCTTCAGGCTCACACACACACTCACACACTCTCTCTTCAGGCTCACACACACACTCTCTTCAGGCTCACAGCACACACTCACACACACTCTCTCTTCAGGCTCACAGCACATGTGGAAATCAAGCAGCAGAAATGTGATTCTATGTTTCTCTTTAATGGGGGGCAGATTTTCATTACATTCACCTGAAACTGATGGGCAGGTGACAGAAAATAACATGTATCTGAGCACACACACACTCACTCACTCACTGACACACACACACACACACACACACACACACACACACACACACACACACACACACACACACACACACACACACACACACACACACACACACACACACACACACACACTTACTCACTCACTGACACACACACACACACACACTCACTCACTCACTCACTCACTCACTCACTCACTCACTCACTCACTCACTCAGACACATTAACTCACACACTCACTCACTCACTCACACACTCACTCACTCACTCACTCACTCACTCACTCACTCACTCACTCACTCATTCACACACTCACTCACTCACTCACTCACTCACTCACTCACTCACTCACTCACTCACTCACTCACTCACTCACTCACTCACTCACTCACTCACACACTCACTCACACACTCACTCACACACTCACTCACTCACTCACTCACTCACTCACTCACACACTCACTCACACACTCACTCACACACTCACTCACTCACTCACTCACTCACTCACTCACACACTCACTCACTCACACACTCACTCACTCACTCACTCACACTCACTCACTCACACACTCACACACTCACACACTCACTCACTCACTCACTCACTCACTCACTCACTCACTCACTCACTCACTCACTCACTCACTCACTCACTCACTCACACACAGTTCACCTGGTAGTAGTTGGGCCAGTAAGTGCTGATGGCGAGCTCCACCTGGCTCCAGGAGTGTGTGGCGGGTCCAGTCGTGTTCCACACCGGTAAACCCATCGGGCTGTTGTTCTCCTTGATGTAGATGTTCAGATGTCCAGGTCTGCCGCCCTCTCGACCCGCAACATAGAACTGGAATATCACGCAGTGTGTGTCGTTCTCTTTCAGCTGCGGAGTGAAGAGTAAAGCCTTCTGACCCGCAAACCGACCCGAGGAGTTCACCATCATGAACGCTGAGCCTGTGGAGAAGATCATAATAGACAATGATAAGTCATGTTTAGTGAGTGTGTGAGTATGAGAGTGTGTGTAAGCTAGTGTGAGTATGAGAGTGTGTGTAAGTTAGTGTGATAGTGTGAGTATGAGAGTGTGTGAGTATTAGAGTGTATGTAAGTTAGTGTGTGAGTATGAGTATGAGAGTGTGAGAGTGTGAGAGAGTGTGTGAGAGTGTGAGAGAGTGTGTGAGAGTGAGAGTCTGAGAGTATGTGTAAGTTAGTGTGAGAGTGTGAGTGTGTGAGTGTGTGATAGTGAGAGAGTGAGAGAGAGTGAGAGAGTGAGAGAGAGTGAGAGTGTGTGAGTGTGTGAGTGTGTGATAGTGAGAGAGTGAGAGAGAGTGAGTGTGAGAGAGTGAGAGAGAGTGAGAGTGTGAGAGTCTGTGATAGTGAGAGAGTGAGAGTGTGTGATAGTGAGAGAGTGAGAGAGAGTGAGTGTGAGAGAGTGAGAGAAAGTGAGAGTGTGAGAGTGTGTGTGTGAATATGAGAGTGTGTGTAAGTTAGTGTGTGAGTATGAGAGTGTGTGAGTGTGTGATAGTGAGAGAGTGAGAGTCTGAGAGTGTGTGTAAGTTAGTGAGAGAGAGTGAGAGTGTGTGAGTGTGTGATAGTGAGAGAGTGAGAGAGTGAGAGAGAGTTAGAGTGTGTAAGTGTGTGAGTGTGTGATAGTGAGAGAGTGAGTGTGAGAGAATGAGAGAGAGTGAGTGTGTGAGAGAGAGTGAGAGTGTGAGAGAGTGAGAGAGTGAGAGAGAGTGAGTGTGAGAGAGTGAGAGAGAGTGATAGAGTGAGAGAGTGTGAGAGAGTGAGTGAGTGAGAGTGTGTGTGTGAATATGAGAGTGTGTAAGTTAGTGTGTGAGTATTACAGTGTGTGATAGTGAGAGTGTGAGAGAGTGAGAGAGTGTGAGAGTGTGAGAGTGTGAGAGTGTGTGAGAGAGTGAGAGAGAGTGAGAGAGTGAGAGTGTGAGAGTGTGTGTGTGAATATGAGAGTGTAAGTTAGTCTGTGAGTATTACAGTGTGTGATAGTGAGAGTGTGAGAGAGTGAGTGAGTGTGAGAGAGTGAGTGAGTGTGAGAGTGTGTGATAGTGAGAGTGTGAGAGAGTGTGTGTGAGAGTGTTTGTGAGAGTGTGTGAGAGAGTGAGAGTGTGAGAGTGTGTGATAGTGAGAGTGTGAGAGAGTGTGTGTGAGAGACTGTGTGAGAGAGTGTGTGAGAGAGTGTGTGTGAGAGTGTGTGAGAGAGTGAGAGAGAGTGAGAGTGTGAGAGTGTGTGATAGTGAGAGTGTGAGAGAGTGTGAGAGAGTGAGAGTGTGAGAGTGTGTGATAGTGAGAGTGTGTGATAGTGAGTGTGAGAGAGTGAGAGTGCGAGAGTGTGTGATAGTGAGAGTGTGAGAGAGTGAGTGAGTGTGAGAGTGTGTGATAGCGAGAGTGTGAGAGAGTGTGAGAGAGTGAGAGTGTGAGATAGTGAGTGTGTGAATATGAGAGTGTGTGTAAGTTAGTGTGTGAGTATTACAGTGTGTGATAGTGAGAGTGTGAGAGAGTGAGAGAGTGTGAGAGTGTGAGTGAGTGAGAGTGGGAGAGTGTGTTTACATTTACATTTACATTTATTCATTTAGCTGACGCTTTTATCCAAAGCGACTTACAATTGCTATATATGTCAGAGGTCGCACGCCTCTGGAGCAACTAGGGGTTAAGTGTCTTGCTCAGGGACACATTGGTGTCTCGCAGTGGATTCGAACCCGGGTCTCTCACACCAAAGGCATGTGTCTTATCCACTGTGCCATCACCACCCCTATCCGTGTGCCGTGCCGTGTTTGTGAATATGAGAGTGTGTGTAAGTTAGTGTGTGAGTATGAGAGTGTGTGAGTGTGTGATAGTGAGAGAGTGAGAGTCTGAGAGTGTGTGTAAGTTAGTGTGAGAGTGTGTGATAGTGAGAGTGTGAGAGAGTGAGTGAGTGAGTGAGTGTGTGTGAATATGAGAGTGTGTGTAAGTTAGTGTGAGAGTGTGAGAGTGTGTGATAGTGAGAGTGTGTGAGAGAGTGAGAGAGTGTGAGAGAGTGAGAGAGTGAGTGAGTGAGTGAGTGTGTGTGAATATGAGAGTGTGTGTAAGTTAGTGTGAGAGTGTGAGAGTGTGTGATAGTGAGAGTGTGTGAGAGAGTGAGAGAGTGTGAGAGAGTGAGAGAGTGAGAGTGTGTGATAGTGAGAGTGTGAGAGAGTGAGTGAGTGAGTGAGTGTGTGTGAATATGAGAGTGTGTGTAAGTTAGTGTGAGAGTGTGAGAGTGTGTGATAGTGAGAGTGTGTGAGAGAGTGAGAGAGTGTGAGAGAGTGAGAGAGTGAGAGTGTGTGATAGTGAGAGTGTGAGAGAGTGAGTGAGTGAGAGTGTGTGTGTGAATATGAGAGTGTGTGTAAGTTAGTGTGTGAGTATGAGAGTGTGTGAGTGTGTGATAGTGAGAGTGTGAGTGTGTGATAGTGAGAGTGTG